AAAAAAAAAAAAAAAAAAAAAAAAAAGAATTCAAATTAGAAAGGAAGAAATAAAATTAGCTCTGTTTGCAGATGACATGATCTTTTATGTGGAACTCTCAAAGGATCCCACATATACACACACACACGCAAACATCCCTTAGAACTAATAAATGAATTCAGCCAAGTGGCAGGTTACAAAATCAACATACAAAACTCAGTTGTATTTCTATTCACTAACAATGAATAATCTGAAAAGGAACTTAAGAAAACAATATCATTTGTAATAGCATCAAAAAGAATAAAATACTTAGAAATAAACTTAACTAAGGAGGTGAAAGATTTACATACTGAAAACTACAAAACTGCTAAAAAATTAAAGCCATAAATAAATGGAAAGACACTTGTGTTTATGGATTGAAAAAATTTAGTATTTTTAAACTATCAATACTACAAAGCAACCTTCAGATTCAGTGCAACTCCTATAAAAATCCTGATTTTTTTTTTTTTTTTTTTTTTTTTTTTTTTGCTGAAATAGAAAAATCCATTCTAAAATTCATATGAAATTAAGGGACCACTAATAGCCAAAACAATCCTGGAAACAGAGCAAAGTTGAGAAGACTAACCCTTTCTGATTCCAGAACTTATTATAAAACTATAATAATCAAAACAATGGTAATGACAAAAAGACAGACATACAGACCAATGGACTAGAACAGAGACACAGAAATAAACCTCTGCATATATGGTCAAATGGTTTTCAACAAGAGTGACAAAGAACAGCCAAATGGGGAAAGGGCAGTCTCTTCCACAAATGATGCTAGTAAAACTGGATATTCACAGGCAAAAAAGTGAAGCTGGACCTTTACCATATACAAAGATTAACTCAAAATAGATAAAAGACCTAAACACAAGAGGTAAAACTATAAAACTCTTAGAAGAAAACATAGGGGAAATGCTTCTCCACGTTGGATCTGGCAATGATTTCTTGGATGTGACACTAAAGGCAAAGGCAAGACAAGAAAAAAATTGTATTTCATCAATTAAAAGCAAATTTTGTAAATCAAAGGACACCATCAACAGAGTTAAAAGGCAACCCACAAAATGGGAGAAAATATTTACAAATCATATATATAATAAGGGAGTAATATCCAGAATATATAAATAACTCCTAAGACTCAGTAACAAATATCAACCCAACTTGAAAATGGACAGAAGACTTAAATAGATATTTCTCTAAAGAAGATATACAAATGATCAATAAGCACATGAAAAGATTCTCAACACATTTCTAATCATTAGGGAAATGCATATCTAGTATGCATATCTACTTCATATCTAGTAGGATGGTCTATGGTTTGAATGACCCCTTCAAAACTCATTATGAAATTTAATTGTCAATGTAATGTTATTAGGGGTGGCACCTTTAAGAGGTGTTCTGGTCATTATGGCTCTGTCCTCATGAATGGACTAAGTCGTTATTGCAGAGTTGTGTTTGCTAGTCAGGGCGTGGTTTCACCCCTCTTACTCTCTCTCTCACCCTCTCTTTTCCCTTCTACCATGTGATGGCCTCTGTCATATCATAACAAAGCAAGAAGGCTCTCACAGATGCCCACACCTTGATATTAGACTTCCCAGCCTCCGGAACTGCGAGAAATAAATTTCTGTTCATTGTAAGTTACTCAGTCTGTGGTATTCTGTTTTTACAATACAAAACGGACTAAGACACTTGGGTATTATTGAAAAAACAATTTAACAAGTGTTGGTGGAGATGTGGAAAAATGAGAACCTTTGTACACTGCTGGTGGGAATGTAAAATGGTGCAGCCATTGTGGAGGACAGTATGGCAATTCCTCAAAATATTAAAAATAGAATTCCCTTGTGATTTAGCAATTCTACACCCAGGTATATAACTAAAAGAAGTTAATACAGGAACTCAAAGTTTATAACAGCATTACTCAAAAGAGGCAAAAGATAAAAACAAACCAACCCAAGTGTCTAGCAACAATGAATGAATAAATGAAATATAGTATAAACATATAATGGACTATTATTCAGCCATAAAACGGAATAAAGTTCTGACTCATGTCACAAGATAAGATATAGATGAACCTTAAAAACATGCTAAGTGAAATAAGCCAGACACAAAAGGACAAATACTGGGATTCCATAAGCGGAATCTACTTATTATATCTAAATTATATGAATTTACCTAGAATAGGCAAATTTACAGAGACAAAAAGTATACTGTAGTTATAATCAGGTGCTAGAGATAGGGAGGAATGGAGAGTTACTGTTGAAGTAGCATTTCAGTGTGGGATGATTGTATTCTATTCTAGAGATAGATGGTACTGATGGTTATATAACAATGTCAATGTACTTAATGCCACTGAATTGTAAACTTAAAATGGTCAAATGATAAATAAAATGAAAAGTTGATTTGGAAAAATTAACATGAGAGTACCTTAGAAATTTTTGAAAAGAAGTATTCTGGAAGTTATTAAAACATATAGTACTACAGTTAAAAAAAAACTTGCTTTTGGTACAAGAATGGAAGAATAGACAAAGCTCAAAGGAGAAAGGAAGATGGAACACCTGTGAATGCAATGTATGATACAAATTGGCATTTCAAATCAGTTGGGGAGAAGACAACTTATTCAAAAAATGGTTCTGTTTAGCTATTGGATGGTGGTGGGTGGAGTGGGGAGAGGTTGAACCATATATCTCATTATATACACCAGAATGAATTTCGGATGTACCAACGATTTAAGTGCAAAGACCAAAGTCAGAACACGTAGTTGAAATCTTTATATAATTTCAGCATATGAAAGACCTAAAGTTTTAGTAAGAAAGACACCAAAGGCTATACATCCAACTACCTATTAATGTAAAATGTCTGAACATATAAATGACCACTGATAGGAGGACAGTTAAATGAAATATGGTATATATTTAAGTCACCATTAGAAAAGATGAGAATAAATCTAAACACAACCCCAATCTAAGAGTGTAAGTGGAAAAAGTTCAAGTTGCAGAAAAATATGTACAGCATGACATCATTTTTAACAAAAGACAAAACACCAAACTACAGTATAACTACACATAAAAATATGTTGATGGTCCTAGCCAAAGCAATCAGGCAAGAGAAAGAAACAAAGCATATCCAAATAGGAAGAGAAGAAGTCAAACTATCTCTGTCTGCAGATGACATGATTCTATATCTAGAGAACCCCTTAGTCTGCCCTGAAAGCTGTTCCAGATGATGAACAACTTCAGCAAAGTTGCAGGATACAAAATCAATGTACAAAACTCACTAGCATTCCTATACACTAACAACAGCCAAACTGAGAGCCCAATCAGAGAAGCAATCCCATTCACAATTGCTACAAAAAGAATAAAATACCTAGGAATACAGCTAACCAGGGAGGTGAAACATCTCTACAATGAGAATTATAAAACACTGCTCAAAGAAATCAGAGAAGACACAAACAAATGAAAAAACATCCCATGCTCATGGATGGGAGAATCAATATCATTAAAATGGCTAAACTGCCCAAAGCAATTTACAATTCAATGCTATTCCTATCAAACTACCAATGACATTCTTCACAGAACTAGAAAAAACTATTTTAAAATTCATATGGAACCAAAAAGAGCCTGAATAGTCAAGAAAATCTTAAGCAGAAAGAACAAAGCTGGAGGCATCACATTACCTGACTTCAAACAAGGCTACACTAACAAAAACAGCATGGGGGTACTGGTACAAAAACAGGTATATACACCAATGGAACAGAATGGAGAGCCCAGAAATAAGGCTACATATCTATGACCATCTGATCTTCCATAGAATTGACAAAAGCAATGGGGAAAAGATTCCCTCTTCAGTAAATGGTGCTGGGATAACTGGCTAGCCATATGTAGAAGATTGAAACTGGACCCCTTCCTTATATCATACACAAAAATCAACTCAAGATGGATTAAAGACTTACATGTAGAACCCAAAACTATAATAACCCTGGAAGACAATGCAAGCAATATCATTCTGGACATAAGAACAGGCAAATATTTTATGGCAAAGATGCCAAAAACAATTGCAACACAAGCAAAAATTGACAAGTGGGATTGAATTGAAGAGCTTCTGCACAGCAAAAGAAACTATCAACAGAGTAAACAGACAACCTACAGAATGGGAGAAAATTTTTGCAAACTATGCATCTGACAAAGGTCTAATATCTAGCATTTATAGGAACTTAAACAGATTTACAAGAGGAAAAACAACGCTATTAAAAAGTGGGCAAAGGACATGAACAGACACTTCTCAAAAGAAGACCTATATGTGGCCAACAAACATATGGAAAAAAAGCTCAATATCACTGGTCATTAGAGAAATGCATATCAAAACCACAATGAGATACCATTTCACAACAGTCAGAATAAGCTATTATTAAAAAGTCAAAAAATAACAGTTACTGGCAAGGTTATAGAGAAAAGGGAACACTTATATAGTGTTGGTGGGAGTGTAATTTAGTTCAACTATTGTGGAAAGCAGTATGGTGATTACTCAGAGAGCTAAAGGCAGAACAACCATTCAACCCAGCAGTCCCATTACTGGGTATATATCCAGAGAAATATATATCATCCTACCATAAAGACATACGCACATGAATGTTCACTGCAGCACTATGCCCAATAGCAAAGATATGGAGTCAACCTAAATGCCCATCAATGACAGATTGGATAAAGGAAATGTGGTACATACACACATGGAATACTATGCAGCCATAAAAAAGAATGAGTTCATGTCTTTGGCAGGAACTTGGGTGAAGCTGGAGGCTATTATCTTTATCAAACAAATGCAGAAACAGAAAACCAAATACTGCATGCCCTCACTTATAAGTAGGAGCTAAGTGGTTAAGAACTTATGAACACAAAGAAGGAAACAACAGACACTGGGGTCTATTTGAGCGGGAGAGTGGGAGGAGGGAGAGGAGCAGAAAAGATAACTACTGGGTACTAGGCTTAATACCTGGGTGATGAAACAATACGTACAACAAATCCCTGTGACATATTTACCTATGTAACAAACCTTCACATGTACCCACAAACTAAAATAAAACTTTCCAAAAAAAGATCTTGATGCACAAACATGGATTTAAAAAGAAACTCTGAACTATTAACAGTAATTAACTTGGATAAGTTAGAAAGAAACTAATCTTTTACTCTATATACTTTTGTAAGTTTGAAATTCTATAAAAATATATTCAAATACAACTCATGTGATTAAAAGTTATAAAAAGTAATCTATATCCAATAGTATAACAAGCTTAAAACTGACAAAACAAAAAAACCTGGAAAACACTGTTTGCTTCATATTAAAAGAGCTTTAATTCATAATGAGCTCTCAAAAATCACTAAGAAAAATATTTTAGAAACCTAATAGAAAAATAGACAAAGCACACGAATAAACAAATGTAGATCAAAAAAAAAGTTCAGATTCACTGATAATTAAGGAAATGCAAATTGGTCACGCATGGTGGCTCACACCTATAATTCTAGCACTTTGGGAGGCTGAGGCAGGAGGATTGCTTGAACCCAGGAGTTAGAGGCCAGCCTGGGCAACATGGCAAAACTCTGTCTCTACAAAAAATAGAGAAAAAATTAGCTGGGTGTGGTGCCATGTGCCTGTAGTTCCAGCTACTTGGGAGGCTGAGGTGGGAGAATCACCTGAGCCCAGGAGGAGGTTGAGGCTGAAGTGAGCTGTGGTCGCACCACTGTACTCCAGCCTGGTTAACAGAGTGAGACCCTGTCTCAAACAAACAAACAAACAAACAAAAAAATAAAAACCCACAACCAAGAAATGCAAATTAAAATAAGATGTTACTTTTCACCTATCATTTAGAAATTCTTAACATTTTTTTAGATATGTCTAAAGTTTTTAATTTAAAAAAATTTTAAGTAAAAAACATTCTTAACAATATCAGTAGGATAAAGGGCTAACCAACCTGGATAACGTGAAACTGGAGGCTTGTAAGTAGGTCTAGGACCTAGAAAAATAAGTTTGATTTTATAAATTCATCAGGGCCTTGTCAATATAAAATTATGACTTCAATTTTGATATTGATTTTTAAAGATTATTTATCAAAATGAAGACTACACATACTTTACAAACTTTGCAATTCTACAGATTAGAATTTGCCTACATATATAGCTGCACAGGTATGTAAGGATGTAGGTACAAGAATGCTCACTATACTCTATTTTATAACGGAAATCCTAGAAGATAACCAATAATAAATCACAAAAGTAATGTGTGGCCGGGCTTGGTGGCTCATGCCTGTAATCCCAGCACTTTGGGAGGTCGAGGCGGGCGAATCACTTGAGGTCAGGAGTTCAAGACCAGCCTGGCCAACATGGAGAAACCCTGTCTCTACTAAAAATACAAAAATTAGCTGGGCATAGTGGTGGGCACCCGTAATCCCAGCTACTTGGGAATCTGAGGCAGCAGGAGAACCGCTTGAACCTGGGAGGTGAAGGTTGCAGTGAGCTGAGACCATGCCACTGCACACCAGCCTGGGTGACAGAGAAAGACTCTGTCTCAAAAAAAAAAAAAAAAAAATGTGCTTGGGGTAAACATATGTATCTTTTTTAAAAACTGTAAGTGGTATCATACTACATAATTTACATCTTCCCCTTTTCCACTTAGGATTCCTGGCTATTTTTGCATGTTAGTAATTTAGATCTACCTTAACATAATTATATTGCTATTTAGTTGTCCTCTGATGATGAAAAATGACTGACAACCCCATGAGGAATGATTTTTCAAAAAAATACCCTTGTAGTTTCTCTTTTATATAAACTTTTTCTCACAAGCAATTCTCTCCTCTGTTCTCAAGCACTAAGCTAGATCAGTGTTTTATAAACACTTTATGAAATGCTTATTGTCAACTCTTTCAAAAGACTGTATCAACAAACTTAGTGCATATACCCGCTAAGAGCATGTGAGTAAGCATGGATGCCTCATTGAGTATAAATTTCAAACGCAATTTTGTTTTGCTCACATATCAGTCCACCAAAAAGCCCATCTCTTCCTGCCCTCAAACCCTACAGCACTCAATTCAAGAGGCTACCAGTTACCAATTACATATTAACATACATGGATCTATCTCTTCCTTAATATTAAATTAGGTGTTGAATAAGTCATATTAGCTAGCTCTAAGAACTTTCTATACACCGGGCACTTACACCTTACTAATAAACAAAAATACAAGGTATTTTTCTTTTTTTTTTTTTTTTTTTTGAGTCTCACTCTGTCACCCAGGCTGAAGTGCAGTGACTCGATCTTCGCTCACTGTACCCTTCGTGCCTCCCCCGCCAGGTTCAAGCGATTCTCCTGCCTCAGCCTCCCAAGTAGCTGGGATTACAGGTGCCTGCCATCATGCCTGGCTAAGTTTTGTGTTTTTGGTAGAGACAGGGTTTCACCATCATGGACAGGCTGGTCTTGAGCTCATGACCTTGTGATGTACCCACCTCAGCCTCCCAAAGTGCTGGGATTACAGGAGTGAGCCACTGCCCCCAGCCTATAAGAAGGTATTTTAATTACTATGTTAACATGCATAATTCCCCTCAATCCTTTAACATATTAGGGAGATAGGAAATATATATTCGAATTAGAAGCCAGTGATTTGAGATTTCAGTTCGACATCCACATTAAACTAAAGGGAAATGGAAGACCATAGAAATGATGTTTCTTTCCAGGCTAATGCTCTTCCCACAATGACTACTGTCTCTTGCTTCTGCTGCAAGCAAAGTGAAACCAGAGACAGCAGTGTTGTAATCAGGATGATAATTCCTTCCATCATATCAAAATGATCGCTCCAGTCGTAAGCACAGTGGTTGACCAGGAGTCCCTGCAAAAAGTCTTCTATTTCATTTCAGTAAGTAAGGACATTTCCTGCCTTTCCGTTGCTATAAAATTTACTTGCTATGGCCGGATAAAACTACCCAGTAAAGAGGAAAAAAAAATAAGATTATGAGATGTGGAAGAGGGGCAAATAGGGAAGAGGCAGAAATATAGGTCTTGCTCTGGAGACAGCAGAAATTTCCCTGTTTAAATGTGTCACATCAGAAGACACAAACTCGTTGCATTCCAGAAAATGAAAAATTCCTGGAATAGGAACATTCTCAGTAAAAGTGTCAACAGATCACTTCTGAAAAGAATAAAATAGCGAAGTTGATGACACAAAACATACATATTAACAAACATACATATTAACACATATACATATTAGCAAACATACATGGATGTTCCTATTCCCTAACATTAATTTAAGTGTTGAATAGGTCATATTAGCTAGCTCTAAGAGCTTTCTATATACCAGGTACTATGCTAAGTTCATTAAATGCATCCCACTTACATCTTACTAATAAAAAGGAAGGTCCTAATTCAATATATATATATAAAATTATAACCCCAGATTATGGCAGATAATTTTAGAATCACTATGTATAACAACTAAAATGGCTAGACAAATGTCCTCCCTCCTTTCATTACTAAAAATGATGAATGAGTGGACATCACCAGAAATTTGAAGGATTTTTTAAAAAATCACCAAGAATTTAAAGGATTTTTGAAAAAATATAAGCAGGAGGTTACTAAACCTGAGACACAGGAAGTTGGAGATATTGTAGCAGGAGAAGTCGACACTGGAAAACAATAATGTAGACTGGATCAAACACTTGGGAGTTATTACTGGCATTTTCTCCAGGAATTTATAAGATTTTTGAGAAACACAAGGAAGAAGTTACTAAACCTGAATGACTCAAGGTTGGAGGTTTTGTACTGGAAGGAGGCGGCTCTAGGAAATAAAATAACGTTATTAGATCAACCACCTGGGAGTTATTGCTGCCATTTTATTTATATGAATTATGCCCTTCTTGACTTACTTAGATAAAAATGCCCGTGTTTTAATTCACTCCAAAAAGTGGTTGTAACCTACTTTTTATACATAAAATTATTGAACCAGAGAAAGTATATACCCATGCAATGTACATAACATGCTGAGAACCCTGGAAAAGTACAGCAAATCACAACAGCAGAATTTTATGTGAATTTCATGTCATAGATCTGGCATAGAAATGAATACAAAACAGAGTTAAATACTAAAATTGTTCCTTTTCAGTTATTCTGTATGACTGATAGTTAATATCAAAGAAATAAAGTCAAAAATGAACAGCAACAACAACAACAAACCAAGACAGAAAAAAGACAAACTTTGTACCTTTAACACACTTTGGAACTGGGGGATCCCAAGTACTGTTACTGTTACAGACAATTGTGTCACTGCCAACGATGTGAAAACCCTCATAACATTCAAATATAACTGTTGCTTTGTAGTAAAATTTTTTTCCAAGTCCTGCTATCTGTCTTCCATTTTCGATTACTGGAAATTGACATTTGACCACTGGAAAAGGAGAGAAACCCCAGAATTAATGGAAATCTGCTTTTACAGAAAAAGTAGTACCAAGTAGTAATTTCCAGTGGAAACAGAGACAAGGAATGGAATGCAAGATGTTAAAAACATTTCTAAAAAGTCTTTAAATGTTAAACATTTAAATATGAAGCATTTTAAATGATATATTCTCCTTAATGATATTTTTAAAGATTTATTGCATATAATTTACATACAGTCAAATTCGCCTTTCAAGTATACAGCTACATGAGTTTTGACAAACGCAAATAATCATGTAACTACCAGTACAGTAAAGAAAAGTTCCATTACTCTCCAAAATTTCCTCATGCCCTTTTGTGAGTCACCCTTCTTTTCCCTCACCACCCCCTCTTCTACAACCAGCCAACCACTGAGCTGCTTTTTCCCTATAGTGGGACGTTTTCAGAATGTCACATAAATAGGATCACAGACTTTGTGTGTTGATTATTTTTTTGGTTCTTTCAAACAAAAACTTCTAACTCACACAGATACATAGTAGTTCACACTGTTAAAAATGAAATGCCAAGAACATGTGAAGGTAAGAAATAGGGAACTCTGTACCTAGAACTGTTTTTTGACTTGAACTAACCTGTATTAAAATATATTAGAAATCAATCATACAGGAGGAGGAAGCGCATACGCCTGCTTTGTTTAGTCATAGATAAAACTATTTACAAAATTATTCCAGAGTATGTACAAATGAAGAAGGAAATACATTGAAAGATTACCTTTACACTCTGGAGCATCACCACTCCATACTGAATTGTCACGACAGTAAATCGTGCTCTCTCCAACAAGTGAAAATGGATCTGGTCCAGGTGCAGGATCACAACTATAAGTTACTGCATCAAGATATTCAAATACGTCTGCCTCACTAAAGGTGTGTTTTCCATTGCTTATTTTTGGAGGTGGTTTACACAGAATCTCTTAATAATGTGGAAAAAGAGGGAAGGAAGTATAAAAGATTAGTAAAATTAGCATTAGTAAAATTTCTATGCTTTCAATACATTCATCAATATAGGGTTTCTACAAGCTGGTTGTGAATTCAATATTGATTTAAAAGAAGATTTCTATAAGCAAATGTCCCAAATTCAACCCATTAATGTTTGACTAACTTTCAGAACAAATCTCATTTTCTTAAAGTGTAAATACCCATCGATATGGTCTGCATCTGTGGTCCCCACCAAATCTCATGTCGAATTGCAGTCCACAGTGTTGGAGGTGTGGCCTGGTGGGAGGTGGTTGGATCATGCGGGTAGATGTCTCATGAATGGTTTAGCACCCACCATCCCCTTGGTGCTGTTCTCATGATACTGAGTTCTTGGAAGATCTGGTTGTTTAAAAGTGTGCAACACCTCCCATCCTCCCCACCTTGCTCCTGCTCCTGCCCCTGCCATGTGAGACACCTTCTTCCCTTTTTTCCTTTTTCAATGATTAAATTTCCTGAGGCCTCCCCAAACCCCCAGCTGATGCCAGCATCATGCTTCCTGTACAGCTTGCAGAACCATGAGCCAATTAAACCTCTTTTCTTTATAAATGACCCAGTCTCAGGTATTTCTTTATAGCAATATAAAAATGGACTAATAACATACCTATATTTCTTTGCAAGGCCATGCTAAATTTTGTTCTAGTCATCACAAGAAATGCTGACAATTTAATTAGAAAATATGCTTAACAGAGTGGGTGGTTGAGAAATCCTTTGCAATTTATAAATATATCCATTTTCCAAATCGGTGGTTCACAGTACCACCAAAATATTACTGTCTTTTTTCACTGTCATCCTTACAAGTGTATAGAGATTTTTTCCAAAGGCTACATATTGTATGATAACACAACAGGCCAAATCTGATCTTGCTTTAAGCCAGATGTTGAAGAGATATGCAAAAAAGTGTGAACAATGCCACTATTCCTACTAGTTTTATTTTGTTTTGGAAAACTGTTATTTTTCATTAAAAAAAGTTACATATGTTAATATGTATTGTGTCTATTCTCACAATTCATCAGGCAGGGTGTGGCGGCTCACATTTGTAACGCCAGCACTTTGGGAGGCCCACAGGGGCAGATGGCTTGAGCACAGGAGTTCAAGACCAGCCAGGGCAAGATGGCAAAACCCTGTCTCTTCAAAAATTACAAAAAGCCAGGTATAGTGGCACATGCCTGTAGTCCCAGCTACTGAAGAGGCTGAGGTTGCAATGAGCTGAGATTGTGCCACTGCACTCCAGCCTGGGAAACAGAGTGAGACCCTGTCTTGGGAAAAACAAAACCAAAAAGAATCAATAATTAATTATAAAACCTCTCAATTTGAATTCCAATATGATAAATACCAATAGATAAAACCCACATAAAAGAAAGCTCTTTGGGATCTTTGTTAATCTTAAAGTGTAAAGGGTTCCCTGAGGCAAAAAACTTTGAGAACTACTGGTCTAAATTAAAAAAAAAAGAGAGAGAATTTACTTACTTTGACATATTGGGGGCTTACTACTCCAAACTGCTTCTGATCCTTTAAGTTCACAATATAGAATTTCTTTACCAATTAAGTAATAACTAAATGAGAAAAGAAAGGGTTACTGTTTTGTGTAGCAATTAATAAGACACACATAATAATGAAGGAACTTTTTATATGGTTGCTTTTCTACACTGCAGTAATTTGAGGGGGTGGTTTCTAAAACATCATACTATATAATGAAAGTGCTAAGTAAGTCTGCATTTTAATCAAATAAAGAATTTCTCCATCTGAACATATATTGGCCAAGAGCAAAGATGTCTAACTAAATCTGCTGTGCCTGTCTGCCCAGCATCTTTGCTATCTCCTGCAATCACATTATACATTCATTTCTGTGCCTTTGTTCACACCACTCTGCTCAGTAAGGACAAGGACTGTGTAGAGAGATCAGGTCCTAGAGCTGGAATGCCAGGATTTGAGTCCCTGCTCCTCAACTTACTAGTTTCTTGAGCTTGGGCAAGTCACTTAAAGTTCCTCTCACTCAGTTTCCTAGTTGATTAAAAGGGGTAACAGTACATACCTCATGCAGTTGTTCAGAGGATTAGATAAGTTAGCATTTGGCACATATTGATACGTGAGTTTTAGCTCCTATTAACATTATTTAGAACAGAATGTCTTTCTAGGGATAGCTTACTGAGTATAGGAATACTTTCATTGAGTATACCCGTATACTTGAAATCTTCTGATTTAAATTCACAGAAATCTCTCTTCCTTCTCGACTTTTAGTGTAATTATCATGAATAATTCTACTTATTTAGCATTTCTCTTTTTTGTTTTGATAGCTCTCAGTATACATTGTTTCTCAATAATGTTAGAGTTTCTTTTAGGGGTATCCATGTCTTAAACTTTTGGTATCTCTCAGAGGGCCTAGCAAGCTCTGTGTAACTTTTTTTTTTTTTTTTTTTGGAGGCAGACTCTTGCTCTGTTGCCATGCTAGAGCACAGTGGCCAGTCTCAGCTCACTGCAACCTCCGCCTCCCGGGTTCAAGTGATTCTTCCACCTCAGCCTCCTGAGTAGCTGGGACTACAGGCACGTGCCAAACGCTTGGCTAATTTTTATATTTTTAGTACAGATGAGGATTCACCAAGTTGGCCAGGATCCACCCACCTCGGCCTCCCAAAGTGCTGGGATTACAGGCGTGAGCCAGCATGCCCGGCCGCTCTATGTAACTATTAACTGAATATTCCAATATTTCTACTTAACCAAATTTTTAAAACTGTCAGAGAAACTGCCTTACATAGTCACAGGTGATTTTTCATCCAATATTCACTTATTTTATCTTCTTTTTTTTTGAGATGGAGTCTTGCTCTGTCACTCAGGCTGGAATACAGTGGCATAATCTCGGCTCACTGCAACTTCCATCTCTCGGGTTCAAGTGATTCTCCTGCCTCAGCCTTCTGAGTAGCAGGGATTACAGGCACATGCCACCACACCCAGCTAATTTTTGTATTTTTAGTAAAGACAGGGTCTCACCATGTTGGTCAGGCTGGTCTCAAACTCCTGACCTTGTGATCTGCCTGCCTTGATCTCCCAGAGTGCTGGGATTCAGGTGTGAGCCACTACACCTGGCCATTATTTTTTCTGTATTATAGTGTATTACTGCTATTGCTTAAATCTGGTTTGTCTCCATCAAAACTCATATTGAAATTTAATTGCCAGTGTAACAACATTAAGAGGTTGTGGGGCCTTTTGGAAATGATTAGGTCATTAAGAGGGATAATGCCTTTCTAGAGAGTCTTCATTAATTCTTGTGGGAGTGAATTCTAATTTTTGTAGGCTTGGATTCATTACCATAAGAGCAGGTTGTTAGAAAGTAAGAATCACCTCCCTTGTGCTTTGACTTTTTTACACATGCTAAATTTAAATTTCCCTTTCACTTTCCAGCATGTTATGATGCAGCGTGAAAGCCCTTGCCAAACACTACTGCCATGTCCTTGAACTTCCCAGCCTCCAGAAATATAAGCCAAAAAATTTTTCTTTAGAAATTACTTAAACTCAAGTATTGTTATTGCAACAGAAAATGGACAGAAAATTACATTTACTCTCTAAATGCACATTTCTCTTAAATATCCAGTATTCCCAATACATACGACTTCAAAAGCCCTACAGAACAGACTATTACTGAGTGCTCACTGCCTGTTCTTGAGATGCTTCATATTGTAGCAGTCTCAAAAATAAGGTTTTTCAACTGGGAGATTTTGATCAACATGATAGTTAAAGGCTAATCGGGTTAGTTTTGGTTGGGCAACACCTTACAGAGTCACCTGGATACAAGAGTATCTTTAGTTGGCAATTCTACTTCTGACAGAAATGAGAGAAATAGCTCTCATTTCTGTGAGCTCTACTTCAAGTCTAAGAGTTGGCAGATTTCAACTGGGGACACTCAGTTGTGAAGAATAAATTCTCATGATTACTACATTTTTAGTGCTTACAACAGGCTTACTGTCAGAGACAGCAAGTAGTTTTGCTTTCCTTCAATATCAATTTCTTTTTATTTACTATACATCTTGCCTATCCCCATAAAGCATCCATGAGTTGTTTGGTTAGAAGTATAACTTGTCACATAGAAAGCAAAATTAAATATACATGAATGCTTAAGAAGAAAGGCAAAACAAAAATAAAATTACTAACATTTCCCTAATTTCCTCTAAGGAGCAACTTACCCATCATTACAAATGAAGTGCAGCTGATTTCCAAATGAGTAAGTCCCATTTGCAAGGATTGCTTGGCCAT